TTCCTTTTTGCTGTCCTAATTACTTTGAGCCATAACTGCGGGTGTCATGCATAAGCGAATACAAACAGGCACATACACATACAGAGACAGTCACACTCACATGCATCGAAATTGGCGTATGACCTTAACTAACCAAATCACTTTATACTTGAACAAAGAGGCCAGATTTAGAGTATATATACCACTTTTCAGGGATTTGCCAGTGTGTTTTCTTGACTCGTTAGCTTGAATTTGGTTGTGACGATGTTACCTCGCTCTGATGATGTCCGTTATATGACGGACGAAAGCTTAGCACCTTTTCACCGGAATCAAATGAGATTACCTCGGAAACAGCGTCAGCATGAATTTTCCAGTTAAGCCAATCGACAGCTGGTCAAGAGGCATCCGCCGTCGTCTTCTGGCGAAACCGGCCTTCGAATCTCTTCACCCAACACTTTCACTCGGAATGGAAGTAAGCTCAACAATTGTCAAAATTTGACTTTCTGGCGAATTTAGTGGGACATTATCACACCTGATTGTTTACCCTGCTGCCACCTTCCTCTGATCCGAATCTCCCTCATCATCCCGGAGATTCAATTTTTATCTTTCTGATTAACTGATTTCACTCGGCTCATGTTGCCCTGACAACTGGGTCAGACCACTTGTATACATCGAAGGAAGACGGCAACCAAAGCAGAGTCCCCAATATATGTATAAAGAGGAGTGTCTCCATGTCTGGAATGGATGTGCAAAGTGGCCTTCGAAGAAATCCGCATTCATAACTTTCCAGCGAGACCACTATATGAGTCATTTATGATCGCTTTTCCACTTATCGCCCTTCAAAACGAGGTGAAATGTGTGAAAACATGTAAACTCGTTTCATGCCACCATCGAGTTAAGCCATCAATCATTCATTCTGCTGTGTTTTATGCAAACACATGTCACCGTTTCATGTTTCCTAATGTTTCAAGTCTTCGACAATATTCACGAGACCTGCATCATAAGCGTCTAATTATTTTAGTTGCCTACTCCCCGAAGAGTCTTGAGGCATTAGCCATCAGGACGAGTTTCATTCTCAGTTGGGGCCAGATCGAGTGGAAAACTGGGGTGCCTCGCTGCCGCTGCATCCCTTTGGCTGGTATTTGTCTCTCCCGCGGTATTCCTACGATAGCAACCAACTCGATGGCTGCCATAGAAACTGGTCATTTATAGACCAGCATTGCGCTGGTTGACATTCGTGAACGGAGGAGAAGATCTCTCGCCCCATCGACTTGGGCTCCACGTCACCGTCTGGACCATAAGCCCCAATTTCGATTTAATGCATTTATTAATGACTGAGTCCGAGTGAGCAGATGAGCGGGTCTCAGAGGAGACCAAGCCAATCCTCCTCTGCGTCTTCACCACAAAAAACCCTCGTCTGGGGCGTGCGTTTTTTCCTGGCCCACAGGTCTTTCGTCCCCGCCTGAACTTTGCCTCAAAACTGACTCAACTAAGCATAAATGAGGATGCATGCTCAAAAGGCTCGCTGTTGCTAGGCCTAAGACGTCCACTCTTGGTTCATCAATAATGCGTATCGCCGACATCGATCCGACTGCGTGGGCAGATTCCACGGCCGCCTATTGGCCAAGTCTTTCGGTCGGTATAGGACGATCCTTTGCGGCTATTGGTGAGGCGAACGGCTATGCTAGCGATAGCAGTCTTCTCTATCGCATTAGCATCCGAGCCGGTGATGCCCCTGCTGCTGGGACAATCTTGTCTCCAACCCCGAGTATCAATTGGTTGACCAGATGCTCGTCTGACGTCCCTGCCTCAGCAACGAAAGTCCTTTTTTGCTCATAAAAAAAGACCTACTCGATCTACTCTTCTTCATCCCGGAGACTAGAAGGACCCAAAGCGTTTCTTCTTGTGTTGTGTTTACTATAGCCTCTTTTTCCCTATTGTTGTATGTAAATATGAATGATGAAGAGAGTCGTTGGTGAATCGGGCCACATCGTCCTGCAACCCCGATGAACCTGTGCTTTGGTCTGTACTGCCATAGCTAGATTGCATGTTGTTAAGTTCTTGCGAAAAAAGCTGTTGCGTAGACCGCGTCAACCTAAACGTCGGGGTAAAATAAAACGACTAAAGAACGTCTTGTGGTCAATTTCTAAGGAAAAATGGGTAATTTGATCGCACCCGAAGACGGAGGAGGATTACCACGAAATGAAGGTTGCCAGATTGTGAGGAGAAGTCCCGAGAACTCAAGAAATATGTTCGTAACGTTTTGTTTGAACTTTGAAGGCGTTATCAGAACAAAAATACTACAATATGTAGTATATTATTGTCTTAGTTGGTAAAACATGGACTCTTGTTGTTACGCTTATTTCCAATTCGAGTGAAAGTGTTTGATGAAGAGATTCGAAGGTCGATTCTGCCAGAAGACGACGGCGGATTCTTCTTGACCAGCTGTCGATTGGCTTTAATACAACATTTATGCGGACGCTGTTTCTGAGCTTATCTTCTTCGATTCCGGTGAAAACGTGCTAAGCTTTCGTCCGTTGTATGACGAACATCGTCAGAGCAGGGTATCATCCTTACAACCATATTCAAGCTGACAAGTCAAGATGATGTTCGTCATATGATGGACGAAAGCTCAGCACTTTCTTTCTGAAATAAAAAGAGATTTCCTCGGAAACAGCGTCAACATGAGTGTCCTATGAAGCTAATCGACAGCCAGTAAGGAGGAATCCACTGTCGTCTTCTAGTGGGATAGACCTTAGAATCTCTTCACCAAACATTTTCACTCGAAATGAAGTAAACTCAACAATTATGAAACAAGGAAATCCTTAAAACCCAACCTCTCTTCGCAGCTGGATTCTTGTCCTGATGATGTTTTTGAGAGTACGAACGAAATTTTAGCACCGATTCTTGAGAGTCGCAGGAATGCTTCACACAATCCGGCAGTCTTCATTTTATGGCAATCCTCCTCCGACTTTTAGTGGGACCAATTCACGAATTCATTCTAAACAACTTTTCCTTCGAAATTGAAAGTCGTACCACAATAAAGCACTAAGGATGTCATTAAAATTCCGTTTTTATTCAAATCTGGCCAAAAGACGTTGTTTTTCACTCGTGTTATTTAACCACGACTTTCAGATTGAGACAGTCCATGAGACATCCTTTTACGTAAGAATTCAGCAACATGCAAACTATACGAAGAAAAGTTGGGTTTCGAGGAACCTCTTGTTTCATAATTGTTGAGCTTACTTCCATTTTGAGTGAAA